GTTATATATTTAAATGTTATAAATGACTGAGATTTGGTTTATTGAATTCTGAAGAAAAATAGTAAAATTGAATGTAAAAGGTTTTGTGGGTATAATCTCTAGCATTAGAGTAGAGGGTTGCTTCAAATTCTCAGACAAGTGCAAATGAAAATAAATTATTGAGACAATTAAATTTACAGTTTCTGTTCATTGAAATAAAGCCTGTGATTTTCAATCCATACAGAATGCAGATTTAAAGTTAATCAATATTGTATTTTACAAGTTTGTCAATAAATCAATAAGTATTAAAATAAATTAAATTTGTGTCCATGCAGTAAGGACATCCAGGAGAAATATACATACTAAAATTGGATTGTAATATAGACTTAAATCATTTCACCCCAAGCAAGGTGATAATGCCACTAAGACACGAGGGGTTACTGGGAGTAAAAGAGAATGAGAAAACCTTAGTGAGGAGAAAGAACAATAAAAAACGGGTTTTAGAAAGACGGAAGATGGTGATTGATGTATTTTTTGAAGGTTGTATGTGGCAGTTATGCCAGATACCAGAATAGAGTTCCACAGGTGAAAAGTGTGAGAAAAGAAGCTATAACTATAGAACCTACAGTTACAAGTAGCTATTCCAACAGTAAAACAATATAGCCAATCTAGTCATAAGCTTAAATGTAGGTGGTTGAGGTACCAAGAAAGAGAGCTCATTCAAATAACTGCCATGAAAATATAAAAAAAAACTGAGGAAAGGCATGTCATGCACGTGGAAAAGTGACTGAAGTCGAGTTGCCAGGTCAGGACTGATAACATTACAGACCCTTCTTTGGATTTTATTGAGAATCTCAAAATATATAGCCAGATCACCAGGCTAGATATGGTAGCATTATTCAATGCATGGACAAATGGTAGATTTATAAAAGTGCAAAATGGATTCTGACAAGAAAAATTGTGTGTCATGACAGTGAACCAACCCTCTTAGCAGCTGACCTTATGTCCTACTATTATAAAATTTCCAGTCCTCTTTGGAATATATACTGGCATTGATGGTTGCCATTTTCATTTCGGAAGAGAATATTGAGAAAAAATTATTGGATGATTCATCAAATGTTACTCGAATTCTATCCATGTTCTCAATGTTTCTTTTCATGCATTTATCACAAATTTATGAAATTCTCATTCTGTTTTCCTTCTCTTGTGAGTATTAGATTCTCTAGGCCTTCTTTCCTCATCATCCTAGAAATATTGACTGTAAGATTAAGTTTGCTTGTAGTTCCTATTTTTGCTTTTGTTGCCTTATTGCTTATGCCTCTTAAAATGGTTTTAATAAGACCAATACTTGGTTTGCTTCTTCAGAGATCATAGTGGAGGATTCCCTTTCAATCCTACCATCAACACAGCATCACCATCTTCAGTACACTTGTTGGTGGTTTATTTCACCTGTCCTATCATCTTGCGTTCGATGTTATTGCAAAGCATCCAGTATTTATCAGTGATGCGGCAGTCACACTTCAAAGCAACTAACATAACCAAACTAGCAGAAATGATTTTCCCCTGCTTGATTTAAACTACATCTGCATCCTGGGTATGGCGATAAATTACATCCAAAAATAATGTTGCCAGCTATACATTTACTAGTACTATATATTTAATATATATATATATATATATATATATATATATATATATATATATATATATATATAAAACTAAATTTGGCATTAAATGACCTACAGTGGTTGATATGCCATAAAAAACCCAACCAACCAACCAACCTGCTTGATTTGAATATTTTTGGTATGTTGGATATCTCTCCTGCATCCTATAATACTGATTATTTCTCCGTAATGATGGTAGGGAATGCTGGGCAATCTCCTCACAGATGAAGAGACTTGAAGCTACAAAAATATGGTTGTATGAAGTCGCAAGTCATCGTGACCGAGGGTTTGAGCGTATTGGCCTTGTTCAGACTGTTAATCATGCCAGATAATATGCTCTCTCCCAGAAACTGTAACTAAGGTCTGCTCAGCATAATTGCAGTATAAACCACTCGTTGGCTCTGTAGGTGCTGAAGAAACACAAATGTGCCTGAGTAGGTGTCTGCAGTGGGGATTGGCTAGCCACCTTAACAGACAGGCATACTCGGATACGAGTGGCCAGCCTATATAGGAAAGATGTCAGCTTTTCTTAGCACTGTCCACTGACTGTGCCAATTTTGATCTTAATGCACACATCCAAAACAGATGTTAATCTCTCAAAATATCTATCATCAAACAAGGCAGAGCATTACTAAGTCAAAAATGGATAATCCTCTACTATTTAGATCCAATCTAAACTGATAAAAAGGGATTTGCTTCTGCAGGAGTTGTAATTATTAAACTTACTTGGGTTGATGATATAACAATCTCTTAAGTTTAAATTTTGCACATTTGAAACTCCTCAATACATCAACGTTGGTCATAGATCCAAATGTCTCAAAAAGTAAAAGCTTAATTATATACAAATTTATGCAATAACTGCTGAAATGATAACAACAGTGCCTACAGCAGAGCACACATCAGACTCAGGGTTTGGGTATGGTCGTCAGTTCATGCCATCATTACACTAACCATGTCAGTTAAAGATTTTTAAATTTGTTTTTTGATATGCCTCGGTGTGAAGGGGTAAATCTGTACCTCTTTTTCACTTGCTGTTTGATCCTCCTCCCCCATAATCTTGGGGGGGTAATGGTATGAAAGATGATAATTCCACTTAATAGATGCTGACCTACCAAGTCTTTTTTTTTTTTTTTCATTTTTAGAAGACAGTGCAACCTAAACAACATAAAATCTAAATAAGTAGTTAAAATTCATAAAATGGCAGTTACATAATTAACTGTCCCTTTTCTGAATATATACACTTAAATTGCACATACACTTAACTCTAAAAATGAATTTTGCTCTTAGGTACCTAGACTTTATGAATGTAAATGCAGTACTAGATTGGCAGTTAGGTCTCATCATTTTATAGTTGAAATGGTTAGAACCATAAGTTCTATGCTAACAGTTTCTTCTATCGCACTTCTCACTTGTGGAACTCTCTTCCAGGTTCTTGCTTCCCAGTCAATTTTGATCTTCAAAAATTTTAGTGCAATGTTAATCATTATCTTCTGTCTTAATTTCTGTTCTTTTATTCTTCTATGTAATGTTTTTTTTTCTTCATATTCACTTACACTCAGTAACCATTTAAATTTGAGAGATAAAAAACAACAAAAATAATAGTATTGATAAGACTAATAATATTTATATTAGTAGGCCTTTAGATCAAATAGAAGCATGATGAGAAAAGATGTTAAAAATCAGAGTTTTCGGTAACATCAGTGTCCTTTTTCAACAAGAAATTAAAAAAAAATGAAATGGGATATTTTGTAGGGGAATTTTTTTTCTGTATGTGATATTACTGATGAAATTTAATAGTTTTGGGTTGTTTGCCACAATTAGGATTAGGGTTTGTAGATGACTTTTGGTGGAAATTGTATTCTGTGAGTGTGCCTAAATTCCTATTTAAACCTAGATTTATTTTAAAACTGTATTTTAACTTGAACTTTCAGCATTCTTGTTGGTATTTAAATGAACATGCTAAAAGGATGCATGTAACCTATAATCTATAAATTCCTCCCCTGAATAAGTTCAGCTTCATTTTTTTTATTTTTTGTTGGGAAAGAACCCAGGCATGTCTGAAAATTCCAAGTTTTAGCATCTTTTCTCATCATGTTTCCATTTGGTGAAAAGGCCAACTCATATACAATAAATATTATTTGTTTTATTAGTAATATTATCTTTTTTTATTTTTATCACTTGAATTTATTTCATCTGCCTAATGTATATGACTGGCCAACCACGATTCTATCTTGTCTGTATAAATACTTGTCTGTATAAATACTTGTCTGTATAAATACTTGTCTGTATAAATACTTGTCTGTATAAATACTTGTCTGTATAAATACTTGTCTGTATAAATACTTGTCTGTATAAATACTTGTCTGTATAAATACTTGTCTGTATAAATACTTGTCTGTATAAATACTTGTCTGTATAAATACTTGTCTGTATAAATACTTGTCTGTATAAATACTTGTTTAATGTTACCTTTGCAGAAAAAATAACAGAATTCTCAACATTTTTCCTCCTTTTAATTTTAAAAATCTTTAAATTAATTTTAACATTAATATCTTGCTTGCATATCAGAAGTTTACAATGTTTATTTAACAAATAATATTAAAAAAAAAAAAAACTTGAATTTATTTTGCAGTTTTAAATTTCCTAATTGAGGGTATAATTACAACTGAAACATTTTTCCTTTTTGACAAAATATTCCAGTGACTCATTATTCTGGAATTATCATTATAGCTATGTAGAATTTTACTGTAATTTTAGAAGTAGTATAACTATTTTTTCCCCCTTTTTGCTCTTTTCCCCCCCTCTTGTTCGGTTCTTTTCCCCCCTCTTGTTCCGGTTCTTCCCCCCCCCCTTTTCCCTTTCCCCCCCCCTTGTTCCAGGTTCTCCCCCTCTTGTTCCGGTTCCCCCCCCCCTCTTGTTCCTGTTCTTTCCCCCCTCTTGTTTTTTTTTTACTTTTCCCCCCTCTTGTTCTTTTTTTCGTTTTGCTCTTTTTTTTCTTGTTGTAAAATAGCATTTAGATTGATTTCTATTGATTATTTTTTTTTCTTTTAACAATTGGAAAATATTTTAAACATAAATACGGGATAAAAAAAATATTGGAATTTTCTCCACTTTTTCTATCTAATAATATCAATTTTTGTTTTTTGTGTATTTATTCCAAATTTATTGAGTTTGGGGAAGCAGATGTTATGTGGAATAAAATAGACTAGCAGCATGACACGTTATAAGAAATGGTCATTAGTTTTTAGCTAAGCAAAAATGAGTAATCAATAATAGTGACAAAAATGAATTGAAAATATTTTGACCGATTAATGTAAGAGTTTATATAGTTTGTTATTTTTTCTTTATTTTCAGTTTTGGTGCCATGTACTTTGCATGCTGTGTCAGCAGAGACAAGAGAAACAGAAACAGAAGCAAGTAAATTTTACATTCAGAAAGAAGAATTAAAAGAAACTGTGCCAGAACTGTCTCAGTCCTTAGCTAAAGAGCCCATTCCCATAACAGAAAAAACTTTATCCGAAGACACTGGAACAATAACAAAAGATGACTCTTCTTCAGATGAAGAGGCGGATAAAGAAAACACTTCACCTCTTAATCAGAATTGGCCAGAACAGGTCTTTTCTTCCATTTCTGAAACTATGAAATATTTATTTACTACTTTTATGTCAGAAATTCAGAAAGAGATTGACTTGTATTCATACAAAGAGGAGGTAAATAACACAGAGAATACTGAGTACAATGAAACTGCCGTCACCATAAAAGAACCACCAACTAATGAGACCCAGGCATCAAACTCCACTTTGGAAGCCAGTTCTTTAAATGATGCTGAGAAGAATGAATCCTCTTTGACAAAACCTCGATTTCACTGTACAGGCAAGAATATAACTGAAAACAGTACCGGCGCTGTACAAATGGTAAATGGCACAACCCTTCTACAGAGGTTAGCCTTCGAGAATAATGCCAGTGGTTCTGAATGCATCCTAGTTTTTTTCTATGCTCCTTGGTGCCATTTTAGTGCCTTGGCTGCTTCAAGCTATAACACGTTAGGAAGAGCATTTCCACAACTGGATATAATGGCTGTGGATGCGGTACAGTTCAGCAAGTAAGTAAAAAAAAAATCTATAACATTATATATATATACAGGGTATCTCAAAAAATGTATGCACACTTTTACAATGTATAGCACAAGTCAACTTGCTTTCTTTCCAGATTTTTTAGCTTTGAACAACGAAAGTTCACCCTGAAATGCGACTGATTGTACGAAAATGTGATTGAAGTCCAAAGGCATTATTGAAGAGAGTTTCATTCAGATCCACCCATGTGACATACAATCTCACGAATTAGCGATTGTAAGTTGGAAGCTGATGGTAATATATATGATGTGTATAGGAACCATTCTAGAAGACCATGGATTTCAACAAGCCTTTTGGAGCAAGTAAAGGCAATGGAAAATTTTCACAGACATCCAAGAAACCTATTGAAATAATGGGCCATTCTGGTTTGATTACAAGGATAGACTTGTAATAGTTTGCCTATCCCTAGCCCACAAAACAGAATAAAAGATATATCAAAAGCACTGTTTAATTTTAGGGAAGGCAAAATAAAGAAAAAAATATGAAAGGGAAGATAGAGGAGGAGATAACACTCTCATGCATTTAATGTCTGCTTCAGTGAAATGGAAAGCCTTGTCAGTTTTAAATCTTTTCATTTGTACCCTCTGCTTGTGATCATATTGTCAGCAATGTCTGGATCCTAACTGTTGTGACCTTGTTAGGGCCAGAAATAAAGACACAAAGAGAGGAATTGAGTTAAACAAATATATCAACAGAAAAGTAATAAAAATATATACATATGAGAATGTTCAGTCTGACTGTCAGAGCTGACTGCTGGAAACTTCCCTCTCCAAAAAGCAGTACCTGCTCCTATTTATACCTGGGAGAGTACATGCATGCATGGGTAAATTGCCATAACAATAACAGACATCAACTTGAAAACATGCAATGAGAGAATCTTAAGAGAATGCATTTATAATAAACACTGTTTTTATCTGCATTATTTAATAATAGATAAGCTTGGTTCTAGTTTTAATTATTTTTTGAGAAACCTTCAAAATGTGTATACATTTTTTTTTTTTTTTTTTTGAGACACGCTATATTTTCTGTGCATAAATGATCAGTTCTTAGCACAACCAAGTTCTCAAGAAGGATTACTTAGATCCATGAACTGTATTTCCTATTCAATATATTCAACATACTTTGTATACACAACCCATTTCTTGTTTTTTAATCATTTTACCCTGAGCAAAGTGATAATGCCAGTAAGTAAACACTATTATTTAGATCCGATGTGTTTTTTTTTTGTTTTTTTTTTTATATTAAATAGGTCATGAGATTTTCAATAAGCAATACTAACCCTAGAAACATGGAATTAGCACACTTAATGGATGTGGAGGCATGGTGGAGTAATGGATAGCAGCTCAGATTGAGGAATTGGAGAGCAGAGTTCAAATTCCAGTTGAATCCATTACATTCACTTATGTGCTAATACTTTTGGGAAAGGTATGAATCCTCTTCTTCTCCCCCAGCTATGGGTAAATAGCAGGACAGACCAGGTTCTATAGCCTTCGATAGCAACTGGTCTACTGCAGAAAGAAATAGCAACCTACTATGGGGAAAAATCTGCCTCGTCAGTCATGTATCGAAAGACATGGTTGCCTAAGAATGCATCACGCATGGCATATAACTGACTGAATGGATGTTCACTTTGGATTTTTTATTTAGCAGTAAATAAATTGATGACATACAAGATGCAAAACATTTTTCATTTAATAGCTGGACATTCTGACTTCATAAAATATACCTTAAACAAACAAGATTAAATTATTTAAATTAATGGTCTAATGATTTTTTTCCAATCCATGTTGAGGAAAGTATTATGGAATGATCTTAAAATTTGCGTTCCTAAAGCAAATACCAGCAGAAGTCTAGATATGAGAATCAGTCAAAAGAGAGTTCTTGTCACCCTCAAGAAGACATAACTAATTGAAAGGCAACATGGCTCCAATAAAAGAACTGTCAATTGAAACAATGGAAAAGATCTTAAAACTTAAATAATGAGCCATTCTGGTTTGATTACAAGGATAGACTTGTAATAGTTTGCCTATCCCTAGCCCACAAAACAGAATAAAAGATATATCAAAAGCACTGTTTAATTTTAGGGAAGGCAAAATAAAGAAAAAAATATGAAAGGGAAGATAGAGGAGGAGATAACACTCTCATGCATTTAATGTCTGCTTCAGTGAAATGGAAAGCCTTGTCAGTTTTAAATCTTTTCATTTGTACCCTCTTCTTTAAATAACAGCCTCCCTTCAAAGTAATGATTGTCATTGTAATATTTTCTTTAAGTTGTTAAACTTGGATATTTAACAAGACAATAGGGGAATTGCCACTGATATTTCATAGTTGTGGAACTTGTAAAGAGCTTATTCAATCATTAACTTGGGGATGAAGTCTAAAAGAAGTAGTTTAGTTACTTAATCTTAAAGACATTTCACAACAAAAAACTTAAAATTCATTATATAATGACTGAACAGACTACAATCTTGGGCCTTATAATTTTGGGTGCCTTGGCCTCCTGCTACCCCCCCCCCCATACATTACACTCTGCCATTACTTCAGATAAACAATGGACCATTCTAGATTGATTATGAGGATAGACTTGTAATAGCTTGCTTATCCCCTGCCCACAAAACAGAAGAAAAGATATCAAAGGCTCTGTTTAATTTTAGGTAAGGAAAAGAAAGAAAGAAAGAAAGAAAAAAAAATAGCAGAGGTGATAACACATGTGAATACAAGTAGAAGCCTAGATATGCAAATCGGTTTACAGTTAAAGAGATTTCTTACCATCCTCATCAAGTAGATGGGCATGCTTATTTGAAAGGAAAGATGACTCCAACAAAAGAACTGTCATAATGTGCTCTCCAGCAGAGTTCAGACATATGGCAATTTTACTGACAATGCCTGGGCCAACCTTTCATGAAGTTTTCAGGTACTTTCCATAGGTGCCATATGCTGGGACTGCCTCTCCAGATGAATAACATCAAGAAGTTATGTTTCTCAGAATTTGTCCTATCACTCATTCCTTTCTCTCCCCCCGAAAAAAAAAATAACATCCTCCTGAACACACATGTCAGGAGGCATATATACCTTAAAACATTCTAAACAACATTTGTGACCTTGCACCCTATGCATCAATGATTTTACATGACAAGTCTAGAGGACCTTTTTAAGAAGATAGACTATTCTAGCATATTTGAAGTAGATTGGCTGATACCACAAACTATAGCACTAAACAACTTCATTCTAGCAGTATACTTGGAGAGTGGTGGAATCAATCACCCAAATGATTGTTAAGATTCATAATTATGCCAACTAACCACTTTTGGCAATCTCTATAATACTGAAGCTCTAGTCTTGTATGTATGGATAAACTTGTATATTCTAAACAAGTGGCTAGATTTAGTGAACTACCACCCAATCAACAAACTTTCCAAATTAAACCCAATCTATGAGAATGGCATCATGGTCACAGACTTTCTCAGAAAGAAGTAGTTGTCCTATCAAGTATCAGTGTAAGACACACCTATATCACTCATCCCTTTCTCCTGAAAAAATAAACATCCTGTCAGGAGGCATATATAACTTAAAACATTCTAAATAATATTTGTGACCTTGCACCCTATGCATCAATGATTTTACATGACAAGTCTAGAGAACCTTTTTAAGAAGATAGAAGTAGAGACTATTCTAGCCTATTTGAAAGAGGTTGGCTGACACCACAAACTATAACACTAAACAACTTCATTTTAGCAGTGTACTTGGAGAGTGATGGAATCAATCACTCAAATGATTGTTCATAAGCCATATATTTAAAAAAGACAACACTTTTCAGCATTAAATAATGATATGGCATTAAAACAAATCAATTAATCATTTTTTTTTAAATTGCTAAGTTATTCAAATAAATGAATCGTGAGTACTGGATGTATTTTTTTTTATCTTAATCTGAAATTTATACCATTGTCAATACAGGCCACTAATTTTAGAACAATGTTTCTGCATTCAATTCAGACATGATGAGGTTCATATCTTTCTACACCTCATTACAAACTTATCGGACATTGTGGTGGTATGACCCATTTTTTGAGGATGTGCTGATGATTGTCTGTTGAGAATGTGCATTATGACATTATTATTACTCCACATGATGGTTGTTCCCAAATGTTACTAAAATTTCCTCATGTCATTCAAGCTTTTTTAAATTATATAGACACACATTCTCATACTGAGATATGGTGAACCCTCACTTTGACTAATAGAAGTGAAAAGGCTTTCATTAATGTGTAACATTCATTAAATTCAAATGTCACCTCAGAAGAGTCCATTATTTTTATTTTACTTTTTTTTTAATTGAATTCACTCCAAGCAAGGCAGTAAAGCCACTAAAACACAAGGGGTTACCGGGTGTGGAAAAATGAGAAAAACAGAAACATTATTAAGGAGCAAGAACAATAGAAGAGTAATCAGAAAGACAGTAGATAGCGATTGACATTGCATTTAAATTTTTGAAGTTTAAAGTTGACTGTAAAGCATGGACTCTGAAGAGAGTTCCACAAGTGGGAAGTGCGAGAAAAGAAACTGTTGGCATAGAACTTACAGTTGCATCTAATCAACTCACCTGTAAATTGATGAGAACACATCACCAGTCTAGTACTGCGCTTAAATTCATAAAGTCTAGGTACCATAGTTGAAGAACTCACCTGAACAATTACCATGAATTATTTATGGAAAAAGCACTGGGAAGGAACTTTACGTCAGTGGGGAAGTGACTGAAGCTGATATATCAGGTCAGGATCAGTAACATTGCTGATTCTTCTTTGGATTTTATCAAGAATCTCTAAATATATAGCAGGATCACTAGATATGTGGCATCAATATTCTAAGCATGTATAAATGGTAGACTTATAGATATGTAAGATAGATTCTGCAGATAAAAATTGTCTAGCATTACACAATGAACAAACGTTTTTTAACAGTTGACCTA